GAAAATATGTGTTTACATACCATATATGTATTTTACTACTTACATGTTTTATTTGTTTAGTGTGTAAACATAATCTGAATTGTTGTCATGTGACTGTTGCCCACAGCAGAGTCACTAATGGCCTCCCAGTTACACTGACGAACACGTCATTTTAGTTTTTACGGAATCTAGTCAGTGGATGCATATTAGTTTCTGGTGAGACACCATGAGACATGTATAATAAACTGAGCTTAGATTTGGATAATCTTCTTGATGAAACAAAGTCCCGTGTTTAGTCAAAGGACCGTTGGAAAGTGGAAAATCCGACGAGTCCTTTTGTTTTTATGGTTTCTGGTTTTGGTAAATGGTGTAATTTTGGCAATTATTTAAGGATAGCAGAGCTTTCAAAGCCGCTGGTGGGTTTAACAGTTAAAATGGCTAAGATTACACTATAAAATATAATATTTTCCTGCTGTAGTCTGTGATTTAACTCGTCAGGTTTTGTCACCATGGTCTAAGTTGCCTGGTATGCCATGGTATGTTGCCTTACATCCGTTTTTGTAAAGACTCAGAGGTTTGTTAATTTGTTGTTTCCAATTTCGTTGTGTTTTCTGAAACCATATCTGTGATGTTGTCCCCTGCTCATGACTCTCCCTGTTTTAGATGACCTGTGTGTCATTGGTTTGGGAGTGAGTGTGTGTTGGATGAAGTGCAAGAGATTAGCAAACATGGTTGTATCCGTAAGAGCTTTGCGCGCATCTGTGCAGGATTTCATGTGTGTAGCACTTAAATGATTGATGGATACGTGGTTAAGTTTGGTGACGTCAGGGAAAGTCTTCTGTACACCAGATGGTTTTACTGCACAGTTTGAATTTGTTTGAATTTCCAACCATCTTTTTGTCTAGGGCTGATTTTTAAAAAAAACTGATCTGTAGGACGGCCTCTTTGTTGAACTATTGCAATTCTGAAAATACCTTTAATGTAAATTAATTACAGATGAACACCAACTTTTAATCAGTTTCAAAATGAGTTCCTGCCGACTCTGTCTCATTAATCAGTGCAACATAATTTGAAAGTGTGAACTCACTTTTCCTTTCATGCAAATGGGTTGTCGTTAACACTGGTGTTACTGTAAACAAACAAAACTAAAGTGAGTCGTAAGTGACGGAGGAAGTGTTAGTAGGTGAAGCTCCACCGTGCTGCCACAGTGGCTGCGTTCATCCATGCTTAACAAACAGCGAGAGCTTATAATGAGCGTACAGGGTTGCGAGTGAAAGCACGAGGCAGATATACAGGAGCTCAGCAGTGACAAACAAGATCACTGTCACTGAGCCGTCCAGACGAGCTGATGTTTGCATCTCCAGGCCGGAGTTCAACCAAAATGCTCTCTAAAGTCAATAAATGAATAAAATCCCACACTCAGTAGAGCTGATTTGTTTGAAAAGACAAAAGACTGTCCACCTTCTAGCAAACACACGTTCACTCTGCCAAAGTAAAATCTAAAATGCAAATAACTAGAAAACATCAGAGGCCCAGAGGCTGGATAAGAGCAACAGGAGCTCAGACAAACGAGCAGCAGCAAATTCAGGACTTCATTATCAAATAATAAGACCTTAAAAATCAATCCAAGCCAAGGGCAGCTTACAGGACAGCAAGTAAATAGTAAATAAAAAGATAGCAAAGATGAATTTGGGACTGAATAAGCAGTGCGGGTCTTGTTTTTGTAAGTTTTGAGTCGGTGGATGGAACAGAATTATGCCTTCTGCAGGTATCACAAGAGAGGAGAGCTGCTTCTAGTTGCAGTTTTACTTAACCCTCTGAATCCAAAGCACTTTCTTTCCTTTTCTTTTTTATAGCTTATGTCACATTTTTTCTGACGGTGGGATGATTTTTCACTGCAAAACAAAGTCCTGCACCTCTGTTGGAACAGCACAACCACATGTCTTCTGTTCAATATGAGACAGTTCATTGTTCTTTCTGAATCATTTTGATTACTTGTTCCCAGACTTGCCTTGTATTTGCTCTGTGTGAAGTCGGCCTGTAGTTTTGTCCGTTCAAGACCAAGAACTCTCTGAATTTTCACAATGTGACTGTAAGTCGATGTCAGCCACGGCTTCTTCATGGCGCTGATCAGCCAAGACTTTTTTAAAGAGTCAGATTTGAGCAGGAGGTTTATTTTTGGGATATTTTTTAAATGATACATGTAGAATAAAGCAAATTTGATAAAACAATCACAATTTTAATCTTATATTTGAGGAATTTTCAGAGCAAAACCAAAAATTACACAATTAGTTTAAGGGCTTTTGAAGATGAAGGTCTGACAATACTTTTACAGTTTCTGGCTCTGATAAATGGTTTAATTGTGCATATTTATTGAAAGATCCCATCCCTTTAAACCTGTTATAGGTTCAACCTGTTGTAGTTTAAAGGATGTGAAGAATACAGACAAGATAAGACAAGACAGAAAAAAAGAATAATTTGGGAATAAATAGACAGTGTGTTGTTGTTTGTTTTGTCTTTAAAGCCGTTGGAGAGGACAGTCGTAGTTCTCGTGTCTTTGCTTCAGTATTCTGCAGATATCTAACCAATAGCTTGTTAATACTGCATGCAAGGTTTTTTTGAGGTAGATGTTCAAGCAAGAGAATGGAGAAGAAGAACGGTAGAAACCAGCAGGAAGTGGAAAGAAGGGAATGTGGAGAAATGAGAGAATACATTTGACAAATCAATACTGGAGAAAAATACTGAAGATGAAACACCAAGGTGTTACTGATATTTTTTCTTCTGTCCTCAATCCACTTTTAAATATGATTAAATGTGTTTTTAAAACGCGGAGCGATTCAGTCATTGACCTTTACCAGAGTGGGAGAGATTACCAGTGAAACAGTGGCAGGGCTCAGGCTGGATGACCTGACCTCGATGCTGGCATCTGACTCCTTCCCTGTGAGGATTATAAAGGCACAATGAGGAGTTTGTCCCACTCGCTACACCTGCTTTGATCCTGGCGTGTTGCGTTGTCCCTCTGAACCGGGCCGTCTGAACACAGAAAGTTAGATGTTAGATCTGCCAGCGTGGCCTTTTTCTTCTTATGCTTTACCCAACCTCAGCAGAACAGGACCCCGGGTGCCAGAAACCACCTATGTTGGCCTGTGAAGGGATGCACGCTTTGTAATTACTGTCACAGACACAGTAGACAGCTCCCTGCTTATTAAACACTTAATCAGACCAGTGTTTGTGTGCGTTTCTTTTCCTGACCACCAAAGGGAAAAACTCAACCCCAGTTTGGATCTTCCTCCTACATGTGGTTTTCCAATCAGTTCAGATCCAGTGGGTAATGAAAACTAGAAACATGGGTCCAGTTGGCCTGGCCAGGAGATATTACAGCAGTTTTTGTTTTTCAGAACTGCGGTTTTGCATCAAAGTGAGATTGGAGAGGTAGGGAAAGATTAAACCCTGATTTGAACTGCTGTTTAATTTGCCACTGCGGGTTAAGCAAAGAGGATAAAGGCCACCAGGCTCCGGCTTTAAGCTGCTAGACTATATACGAGGCTTTTCCTTGCATGATCTCTCAGGTTAACTTTTGCTGTGTTAACAAAAACAACCAGAGCTTCATTCTTGAATGTGTTATCTGTGTTGTTTCAATATTATATATTGTCCCTGCTGCCGTGGTCGAGTCTGTTTATAAAATGACATTTGGGACGTCACCTGGTCAAAAGAACATTGAATTAATTTGAAAAATAGTATTTAATAAATATGTTAAAATAATTATTGTTGCTATAAAGAAAGAATTACTTTCCCAGATTTCCATATCAAACAGTGAAATGTAATTTAACACATTAGTAATGTGAGTCTCTTCATGTTGTGAAACTTTATAACCCACTGCAGTTTTTTTTAAATGTCACGTTAAATGTGGATAAAGTGAGACATCTCAAAGAACAACATGTCCGAGCATTGACAACTAAAGCAAACCATCAGCATGGCTTACAAATAGGGCAGTGATTGTGGTTTGTGTGTAAATTAGGCGGACCAGCCCTTTAAAAGCACATCGCTGGGAGCTGCTCTGTCCAGCGTTTGACTTCATAGCGCTGGAACCAT